CATGAAGGACATATAATTATATCATGAGATGACAGATAATTACTCAATTTTCAGCCTCACTGATTACTTAATTTCAGTTTGCAGCAAAAGTAATTTCTTTTTGTTTATTTGCTATCAGTGTAGAAAGAAAAGCATATAATCTGACATGAAAACATATATTGTGTAAAATTAATTATTTTTGCTCATCTTTAATCACTGAGAAAATAACATCAGAAAAAAAATAAAATATCTCATGAAAAATTAATAGAAACCGTGACATTTAATTAAATGCCACAATTCCCAATCATGGGATCTAAAAATATATTATTTAACTGCAACTTTTTGCTTCAATATCATTTCACCATTTATTTTAATTTTTTATGTTAATTTTCCAATTTATCCCAACCATAGCGACTGATAATTATCTCTCATTTTAATTAATTTTTGGTAATGTTATTGGAAGTGAAATTCGGTGAAATTAAGTGCTACAAAAGGTACCTTTTCACATCTGCAATTGCACTTCCAAGTACACTTGACCACAATACTAAACTAAACGGGGTAATCTTCTTCTTCTTCATTTTTTATTTGTTACATGGGTTTAATTTTATATAATCTAGAAGTAAAAGTGTTCGTGACATTTGGTATGTCAATTGTGACTGTAAATCCAATCAAATGCATTGCCGAATAAGCTATGAAATTGGTGGCTAATCGGATGGGTATCCAAACCATTGTCATTCCTAATTAAAATGAGAGAACTACTTCAATGAACACAAGAGTTCTTAAGGAGTAATTACCAGGAACAAGAATTTGTAGAGGGTTAGTTGATTGAGTGGATCCATTCGAGGAACGGGAAAAGTTTAGATTTACAAATGATCAAACCCTATGAATTTGGCTAATATATTTCATTACGGAAGGTCAATATTTTTCTTAACAGATAACATAAAGTGTGTGAATTGCAATGATTGAAACTATTCATGATGTCCAGAACAGGACATCTAGGGTACGTAGCATGCCCTGAAATCAATGAGAAAGATGCCTAGCTAGCTAGCATGGCCTGTGTGAACAAAGCTTGAGATTGGGCAGCCATGGGGTTGAAAGAGTCATCATAGTAGCAGATGGTTGCTTTTTGTATAGCTTCAGAATGCAAGATTAGAATGATAATGGTGATCAGAGCTTGTTGATAAACATAATGATTCGGTTTGATCTGCAGTTTTCACATCATGCTGGAATCAGAATATATAAAGAGGGTTTGGGCCCTTATAACATAAAAGTGCTCATTAATATGACCAAGAATATAAGTTAATTATAACTTTACAAAATTCATATATATTTATATAATCCTTATGTTTTTTATTCCTTTTTTATTTTATTTATTTGAAGGAATTACAAGAACTCTCTTGAGATATATATATTATGAAATCACAATGATCATTCAAAACTTCTCTTAATTATTATTTAAAAATGATAATGAAATTAAGAACTTAAGAAATGAGAGAAAGATTAAGAAGAATGGGACATGGTCAATATTTTCTAGTACATGAATAATATTGATTTCACTATTTTACTTCAATCAATTTTATTTTGAGCTTCTCTTTTAATGTTCTTCATCTAATTTTTAATATTTCTTCAGTTTTTTTCTAAATTATTTCAAGAGAATTGTGGATATGATATGAGGGTGTTTGTCAAATTTTTAATTTTGTATGGTTCTTGTACTTTCACGTTATCTCAGGGGTATTGTAGTTTATCTTTTATATATTCTTTTTTGAAAAATAGAATAAAAGAAGAGAAGTGGAATATTGGAAAATTTCGATTAGGAAATAGTTTTTTTTTTTCCTAGGGGCGGGGAGTCTAAATTGAGGATGCATAGTTCTAATCAATGAACTATTTAATTATTTTTAATTCTACATAAACTATTTAATTATTCTCAATAAAACTATGGGGACTAATTGAGTTAGATAATTAACTCCCAAGAATATTAATATTTATGAGGAGGAAACAACGATTACTCCTAGTTATGAAAGAAACCGCGACATGATTAGACTCTATCTTGGTGTGCATGAAATTAACGCAGTCGTCGTCAAAACCTGAAATCACGCAGTGAGATCATGGAGAAGAAATTAAAACCAAGCGTCCATCTCCTGCTTCATAATTAAAGACTTGAACTTTGAACGAAATGCTTTATGACACCAATGGAACACAGACTTCTTGTCTTCACTTTTCATGTGTCTTGTTCTCGTAACGTACGGTTCTGGTAATAGAGTTATAGCATATTTTTCCCTAAACAAAGGGAACAAAAGAATTTTTATTATCTTTTTCACCAAAAAGCACGAAGGAAATAACATGAAGAAGCCAAATAACTTTAATATATAGTTTTGTCCAACGTGAAATTATAGAACCATCACAGCTAACAAAGGGATAACAATATGGGTAAGTTTTTTTTTATGAAACAAGAAGTAAGAGTTAATAGTTTTTAAACCTGATTTAATTCGATAAATTTGTAGGAGAAATTTAGATTATGATTCGGATAAAAATTTTAATTGAATTATACAAAATATTTAAATGGCTAAATTAAATTGACTTGATTAACTTTCCAAGTACCAACTATGGATAAGACTCGAGACCCCACACCCCACTTTCAGCTAGACAAAGAGGGTTGCCTAGGACTAACCACATGCTGGTAGCAACAGCCAATTGGTAAGTTGATACCAAATGGTAGAATTTACATAAGCTACGAATAAGGCTATGTTTGGAAATAAGGTTTAAAATAGTGTTTCATTAAAATTTGATTTTTTTTGTTTAAAATTAGTTTTTTTTATATTTTTATTTTTCAGATCTTTTAATATGTTAATGTTAAATATAATTTTAATATATTTTTAAATAAAAATATTTTAAACCACCATGTTTTTAAACACACACCTGGTTACAAATGGCTAGCGAATCATAGGATATAGGCGGCAGAGAACTCATAATGGATCCTTTCAGGACATTAAAACAGCAATGGCATTAATTCACTTTTATATGCATTATTATCATTGTAAGTCAAACGAGAGGTTGAAATTTATTGATAGCACTCATGTTGTTAACTTCGTCGAGCCACTTTTATATGTCATTCTCGTGGCCGGTTATTCACCTGCATCTATCATGGCCGGCCGGCCGGTACCACTAGCTAGAGTGTGTGCTACCAACGTGACCTCAACAGAAGCTCCTCTATGTATCTCACCACTTAGTATAACCAATTTAATTCTTGTATATGAACCATTTGAGACAATTTTAGTGTGAAAAAGACAGCTTCGATCATTCCCGTTTCCAGTGGATGTAAAATATTGATACCAATTGCATGAAAATGAGAACTCATGGCAGCTAGCTCTTCATTGCCCAGAAACAAGGATATTGGGGGGAACATTATTGCTATCATGGAAAAAAAATATATCAGTAAAATGTGAACAATGCTTAGGGTTCATGAAAAGATAGGCCACTTGCTATATATATAAGGTATTTGTGCATTTATCAAACACCACTCGATTGTTCTGTCATTGTTTCAGCATGAACAACCGACCCCCCGCCCCCTATTGTAAAGCGTGAAAAACGAACACCAATATTATGGCGCGGATCTAGCTTGGAACGGTTTAAATAAATTGTGTTTTTTAATTTTTTTGTTTAAAATTAATTTTTTATTTATTTTAGATTATTTAGATATGTTACTATAAAAATAATTTTTTAAAAATAAAAATATATATTATTTTGATTTATTATTTTTAAAACAAAAAATACTTTAAAAAATAACAATTACCACGCTCATAATGCTATATCGAAATGAAATCTTAAAAGAATAATTTAATATATATTATTTAAAAAAAATATTTTAAAAAACAATTGTTACCACACTTGTAATCCTATATTAAAATAAAGTCTTGGAAGAACAATTTAATTAGAGATATATAGCTCTATTTTTATAATTAGAGACATTATATTTTTATATTTTATATTTGATTAAGGTGCATGGGATTAAAATTTAGAACCTATATATACTTTTATTTTCATGATTCGGATTCTTTTAGACATTTTTTTTAATTACATAGAATATTTCATGATCCAATATTAAAAAAACAAAATAACAATAAGATTTTGTAGGCTAAAAGAAATCTAGAAGCTAATTGAGAATCTTAGTGGTTAATCTTATTAACAAGGGGTGGGGTTGCCTGAGCAACCATAAAATAAGTGTAAACCAAGGAAGTGGGGTATTTCTGGGGCGGTTTGTGGGACTAGAGGGGAGGCTATGTTGTGTGCTTGCGTCCCTCCTACATTAGTACACCACACAAAAATTTCAAACCCCTGTAATCATATCCTGTTGTGGTATTATAATAGCTGTTTTTTTTTTTAAAAAAAAAAATTTAAAAATATATTGATGTAATATTTTTTAAATTTTTTAAAATTTATTCTAACATCAAAACCATTAAAAAAAAACATACAATAAATATTTTTAAAATACAACTTTAGGACAGGACAATAGAGAAATAGAAGGGTTAACTATGCTTGATAATGACTTAAACAAACCTTCTAGAGAGGCTTATTATAGCTTTAGATTGAGATGATAATGACTAGACTTCGATTACAACCAAAGTTGTTTCTCTTTACTCCTTTTTCCCTTCATGAATATAAAATCTGTCAGACATAGTTGATTTGATGATTGCTTGTCGAGTTTATTCCATTTGTCCTTTTCTTGTTCCTGTTTGATTATCAGGAATTTGTTTCCTTGTCTTTATGCTCCTAATATTTTGCTCCCAGCTACCCCCAAAGAGGAGTATATCATATTTTTATTTTTATTTTTATTTAATTGACTTGGAACAATGTGTCCCATGAGAACAGATCATCTGATACATAAAAATCCTTTCTGTTTAGGGTTTTAGATTTGGAACAGTATTTCGTTTTTGTTTCTTCCTCGTAAAGTCCCCTCCCTGCTGTTTTCTTTGTTTGAACGCTAGAGAACATCCGCCTTTTGTGTTTTAAAGATCGGGGGAAAGTGCCGTGGAAGAGTTCTTTATTCACATGTATAATTCTACACCAACATTTACTTATTACAAAAATTTAGAATGTGGAGTTTCTACATACAGAATGTAGAGCTCTTTTAAGAGATCTATTCAACTTGACAAATGCTTGGTGGGCATGAGGATGAGAGCACTTGTCTGGATACACCAAAAGTGACAGCTTCCGGTACCTAGGGAGATGCCAAGATGGTTCATCAATCATGTATTGAGTCTAGCTCAAAGCTATATTAAGAGAATAATTACGCAAGTCAAGTGCAGAGCTACAGTAGGGACACATTACTTCCCTTATGAAAGTTAGAAATTAGCAGTTGTTTGGAGATTTTCCAACGAAATTCAACTGGAACCATGCCTACCTGAACAGCTTAGTCAACATATAAATGTTCAAGTTACTATTTATGCCTCTAGATCTCTAACAATGGCATCAAATAGATGGGGAATGGAAAGCACTAGAAGACACATTTGGCTTTGATAAATAAACGGAATCATCAGCTAAAATACTATAATATACAGAAAAACTTCTCCAGCATTTCCTACTTATTTCTCTGCTAAATGCTCAGCAGAAGGACAAACCATATCAAAAGTTGTGGTCTGCCTTTCACATTATGGGTTTCAAATCATGATTATGTAACTCTCACATCCTAGTTTATTTGAGCAGAGGTGTTTAGTGACATAAAATCACAAGTCAACTACCTAGGATGGTAATGCAAGTAAACATGTACATACAAATATCATGCAAAACCGGACATTATATTAACATATTAGCTTATGGATATCTCACTTTGAATTCCATACAAATATAATCAAGAACATTACCTTTTCTTTATGTTATCGGCAGGCATGTTTGAAGTCACTCCTACAGCATCATATGGAGGGTCGCCCACAGCATCCATAATTCTGGTGACCTAATCAGGTGAATGTGAACGTTAATTAGTGAAACAATTACTAACAATACATACATAAACTCATGGTAATACCAAAAATTATGTCACAGAGAAGAAAACTTCTTTTCTAATATTTTCATAACCAGCACTATAACCTAGGACCTAATATCAACTTTTTATAGGTTTATTTCTTGAAAATAGACATACCCAGAGATTGTTAAATTGAACAAGAAGAAAAAAAAAGGCAATATCAACAATATCCAAGGCAGGGATAAGGGCCTCCCCAAAGATCAAACACTCCCTAGACTTCAAAAGATATTGCAAAAAACTTTCACTTTCTTAGATAATGAACCTCTCAAAAAACAATTAAAAGTAACAGACAAGGAGCACTCAAGATGAAGAAGAATATGTACAAATATTCCTCCTCCTCTATTGACTTAGTTCTAAACAATACAACTAGTCCAAAAGCATGGTGAATATAGAATCAACATTACACTTTTACACTTGCAAAGGTTTTCTCTGTCCCAACACACATTTGCCAAAACTAATCCATGTAACTACAACTTCAAGAGAATATCAGGCTGATCACCTTCTTCTGCCAAAAAGGTACATGACAACTATGAGTTTGCCAGTAGCAAGGTGAGCACATGTATCATTTGTTTAGTCCAGTCAAATAGAGCTAATCTCTGGGCAGAAAGTAGGAACAATTACATGAAGATAGACAACATCTTGCCATCCCCACTTTGTTAAGGAGTTGGGTACATGAGATCAAAGTTCAGCACCACATTCACAAGCATGGCTCGAGGTCATTAACAGATTCTTAACCTTCTGATCTAGCAATAAGATTTCCCATGAAACCAAGTTGCAACTATTTTGTGAAACCAAATCGGATATCAAATCCACTGAACACATCTCTTGTGCTTATGGTCATGAAAACCACGTGATAAAAAGTGAATGAGAGAATGAAAGTCCTTGGTTTCAATGATGAAACTTCATCAACTCACAAGACAGGAAACATGAATGCTGCCATAAAAGTTACTTAAATGCAACTTCCAGCTCTTGACACATTACCTGTTATCCAAGCACTAGGATAGATTCTAACAAAAAAAAAAAAAAAAGACTGGCAAAAGTGCAAGGCAGAAATGTTAACTGTACATCCAAACTGCAAAACCCACAATTCTCTGAATTACCTTACCCATGCTTGTGCCATGGGAAAGACAGCTGAAAATGAAGACTTTAAAAGATAAATACACATAACGTTTAAAACAGTAAAAAAAAAAAAAACAACCATGAATAATAAAAGTAAGTTGTCAAACTTGACTCCACGTAAACCGAATGGCTTTGAACATAAGTGGAAAATCAGCTAAAATTCAATAAAGATTGCAATATAGGTAAAATCAAGCACCTATTCAAATCACTCTGCTTCATTTGCAGATGCAGCTTCGGTAACAATAGCAGGTGGGGCAGGTCCTATAAATAGTTCAGTATCTTCCTCCAACTCTTCTTCTTTGGAATTTTACATCATAAACACCATACAGACAGCACATCAACTTACATTCAAACAGAGAAATCATATGAAAGGCACGAAAAATAACTGTGACTACTTCGAAACAACAAAAACATTTTTCCTTTGCCGTCATTAAAGCCACTAGTTTCAAGATTTTTGCTAAAGAGGATTTTCAGATACCATAATACCAGCTTGCAACCCCTAGGCCTCTTAAAAGCCTCCCTCTGCAAAACAAGACTAGAGGGAATCTATTCCAGCCAAATAAGGAAATGAAAAAATAACTAATCGCTTTGATTAGGATCATTGAACTCTTTCATTAGTATAAAAATGAAATAGACAGCAAAATTTTGGACCTAAGAGTGAGAGATAGAAAGTTGATCACCTTCTCCTAGGAGCAGAAGCATCATTTCTTGAAGATGGCATTGCCACATTATTTTCATTAGTTTCTTGTTTATGTTCGGTGTCTGATGTTATAGAATCCATATCATTAGACAGAATAGAATGGTCACGCTGCTGATCTTTGGGCTCTGCACAAGCTTGAATCATCAGGGGTCCAACAACATCCAAACTAGGACGAACATTTGGAGGAAGCAAAAAAACCCTATCCCCATTTTCCTTGATATTTAACGAAATAAAAAGTTTATTCAAATGCTTGATCAAGGACCTTTCAAATATCCCTTTTAAGTCAACAACTTGTCCACCATCAATTATTTGGAGAAGCTATAATATAAACAAAGATTTCCCAAAATAAAAAACAAAATCAGTCCAAACTGAAGAGTTTCATATCTTCTAAAAAAAATTTCATTAAGAAGTTCCCTAACTCATAATTTCAGAACAAAAACCATTCTTCGCTACTAGTCACTATAATCAACCTACAATTTACTTTACATATAACGCTACATTTTCTGTCTTAGAACATAATTCGGTGATAAAAGCTTTTTATATATATAATTAACCCCATATAAACAAAAAGCTCACATCATAAACCATATAAACTAACCCCATAATTAAAACACAAGCGATAACTCAAAAAACAGAGAGAATTTACAAAGAAAATATCAGACTTACCTGCTTCATGTCACCGCCAACATTATGAAATGCACTCAACATCTCCTGGGCTAATCCGAACTCTCTCAATCTCCCTCTCCTCGGAACCGGATGCTGATGATCCGGGCTTATAATCTCTTCTCTTCCTCTCTCTATGTTTGTCTTTTCTCCTTCTCTCCTCTTCTTTTTCTCTTTTCCTCTCCTTCTCACTCCTCGAACTCCCATCACTTCTCCGACGGTGGCGGCGCCGCCAACTCACTGGTAGAGTGGGTTTCTTCGTCGAAGGAGGAGCAGCTTGATGGGGATCGGGGGTGTCTTCTCTGTGCTTCCTCTTCATTTTGCGTCCTTTTTTCATTTTTTACAATCAAAAAAGTTAAAAGAGAGTAGTTTTGTTATATGCACCGCAGTTTTAATGTGATTGATACTATTGGGATTATGTTTTGAAAAAATTATTTTATAAAAAATATTTTTAATTAAAGTTAATTTTAAAAAATATATATTTAATTAAAATTATAATTGAAATAAAGGTTGAATAAAAAATAGTTTAATATATTTAATTAAAAAATACTTTTTAAATTGAGGTTATATCATAATTAAAAAATATATATATTAATATTAATAATTTTTAATTAAATATTGTAGGTTTAACTATTGTTATTATATCATGAAATTAATAATATTAATATCAAATATTTTTTATTATTCCATTAAATTATATGCAATGTCATCACATACGAAATCTATCTAATAAGAATTATATTTTTCATGGTTTTTTTAAGTACGCAATAATAAAAACTGAATTTTTTGTGATGTCATCAAACGATCTCCTTCTAATTTTTCAAATAAAGCATAATTAAAATAAAAATAAAAACTAAGTTTTTTTAATTGGGTCAGACTCGGCAAGAACATAATTGGAATTGCGATCAAATTCCACAAATGCTACGTCATCATGCGATATATTTCTAATTTATATAGTTTTATTAAATAATATTAAATACTAGTTTCGAGTAAAACTTATTTTTTAAAAAAAAATTATAATTTCATTATATACAAAATTCATTTGACACGAACTACAATTTCCATGATTTTTTAAGCGTGCAATAAAATTAGGTAAAATAGTATGAGGAATAAAATTGAGATTCCAGTATAAGTAAGTTTAATTCATCTTAAACTAATTTTTAAAAAAATAAAAAAAATTATTATTGACTTTCATGTTAACAGGATGAGTAAAATCAATTAACTGTACTTTTTTAGAAAAAAAAAACTACACTTTTCACTTGAAGTGAATTAATTCGCTCACACTAATTTTTCAAAATAAAAAACTGTTCACTTTAGTGAATAGTGAGATAGTGGAGCATGGCTCCACTCTTATGGTTCCTCCCCCACAAGAAGCAATAAAATACTACTTCTTAAAATCTGCGGCACAATCTTTGTTTTTAGTGGGTCCTATCAGCATAAAACATTTTTTTCTTCTCAACCAAACGGTATTATGTGTGGCTGCGAGTGAACCTCACCCGCAGCTATATTACCAAACGGGCACTTATCAGGTGTTGCAATTGGCAATCATGTTTTAAAGAAAAAAAAAATTTACCATTTTTTTTTTTTTAGATTAACGTGGGTGTCCGAGCCAGCTTGCGCGCACCACGACTAATCCCACGGGCCCTGAAGTTAACGACCATGTAAGCCTCCAGTGGCCATCATATGAGCAACCAAGGACTCGAACCTGAGACCACAGAGGGAGCAAACCCCTTGATCCCAAATCCTTACCACTTGGCTACCACCTAGATGGTTCAAAATTTTACCACTTTGAGTAGTCTTAAATGTGTTTGTTTTTTTAAAAAGTTATTTTTAATAATTTTTTTATCTTTTAAATTTTATTTATTATTAAAAATTTTGATTAATTGAAAAAACTTTATGGTTAATGACAAATAATTTCTTGTTAAAGGAAAATTTGACTTGATTTTAAGGAAAGTGTTTTTCTTTTATTTTTAACGAAAAATACTTTATAGAAGTTGTGAAAAATTTAAAAATATCATATTATTTGTTGATTACGTCAAATTTGATTTTCAAACTTTTGATTGCTATATATTTTGTTTGAATTTTTTTTTTCAAATTCATCCCTTAAAATTTGATTTAATTTGGTTTTTATATTAACTTTGATCCTTATTTTTATGATTATTATTTACATTTCTCTTATCATTTTTTAAATTGAAAATTTTTATTTATTAAATTTTTTTTCATTCTTTTGATTGTTACTTATTTTATTTAAAATAATTTATGGAATTGTAATTATTATTATTTTAATTTTATCATCTTTTAATTTTTTATCTGTTAGATTTGATCTTTATTATTTTAATTATTATTTATTTTATTTGAGATAATATATGAAAATAGCTATTTTTCAATTTCATTCTCATTCAACTTTTTAATTTGTAAGATTTATTTTTTATTATTTTAATAAACTTAAAAAAAAATAAAACATTAATAAGCAATTTTACAGCTCATTTTCCATAACATAACCAAACATTGAAAAGTGTTTTCCAACTTACTTTATATGATATAACCAAACATTAAAAAATAATTTACTTTCTTGAAATTTACTTTTCAAAGAACCCACTTTCCAAAAGGAAACTACATTCCTTTAATCAAATGGTGCCTAAATAAATTATTTTTTTAATTAAATAAAACAATAAACAATCTAGTAAAGAACTAAAAATTAAAAAAAATTATGATCTATATAGAACTTGAGAAAAAAATCTTTTTTCAAAAGCCAAAAAACAATATTATTTAACTTTTAGCTAATTAAATATAAAAATATGAAATTGGATAAAAATAAAGAATAAAAAACAAGTGTGAATTAATCCAAGATATCATGATAGATATGTAACTTGGACAATAAAAGATGAGTAAGCTCGGGTTAACCCATTATAATCACATCCTATGTTATCAGAACTCTATAAAAAAATTAAAAAAATTACAAAGCTATGTTTTTATATAAAAAACCAATATTGAATAGTAAAATTAGAAAGAAAATAAGCTATAAAAAAAATGTCAATTCCCATTAATTTCTTAAACCCGTGACCAGGTCATTAAATCAAAAACACTATATATTATAAACTATTGCTCATGTTGCAAGAATGGACACTATGCTATTGCTACACACTAAAACTAGAAGGTATTCTAGTTAAACATTTAAATGGTATTTTGCAGGAGAAGATTTATGTTCAACATCTAGTTCGGTTTGTAATTCAAGTAAAAGAAGATGAAGTCCACTTGCTAAAGAAAGTTTTTTATGGATTAAAACAAGCACCAAAAACCTAGTATAATAGAATTAATAATTATTTGATAAGCTTTACCTTTCTAGAAAAGCTTATCTGAGGCAATTCTCCATGTAAAGAAGAATAACAATGATATTTTCATAACATCACTCTATGTTGATGACCTTATAATGATGGGAAACAATGTACATCAAATTGAAGAATATAAATAGAAGATGATATAAGCTTTTGAAATGACTAATCTTGGCCTTCTAACGTATTTTCTAAGAATGTAAATCAAGCAAAACAAGAATGAAATATTCATCTTTTAGAAGAAGTATGCAAAGAGAATTCTGAAGAAGTTTCATATAAAGAATTGCAAACCAAACAACCACTCTAATGAATGAAAAGGAAAAAATCAGCAAAGAAGATGGAATTAATAGAGTTGATGAAGAAAAAATCAGATGCTTAAATGGTTGTTTGATGCATCAAACAACAACTAGACTTGATATAATCTACGCAACAAGTCTTCTATCTTGTTTCATGTATTTTCCAAGTGAAATTCATTTAAGAACAACCAAATTAATTTTAAGATACATCAAAGAAATTATTAGCTTTGGTTTTCAGTTTTAGAGGAGTCAAAACTTAAATATACATGGTATCTTTTATAGTGATTGAAGAGGATTTATTAATGACATGAAAGCACTTCTGGATTTCATTTCAACCAAGGATCATGAATGTTTTTATGGTCATCCAAAATGTAGGACATTATCGCATAATTCATTGCTGAAGCTAAATTTATTGTAGCAATAACAATAGTGAATCAAGCATTGTAGCTTCAAAAGATTCTATGTGATTTGCATATGGAGTAAAAGGAAATTATAGAGGTCTCAGTATACAATCAAGTAGCCATAACAATTTCTCACAATCTAATGTTTCATGGAGATGTTAAATAATATTTATGTAGTTTTATTTATTAAGGATATAATAGTATTTTTAATTTAATTTATATATATTTTCTTTGTATTTAGGTTAACCCTAAACAATGATAATAAAGAGATTATTGAAAATTCTAGCCTCTTTTTTTTGTATTTGATCTTAATTATTTTAACACGGTATTAGAGCTGGTTTTATAAAACGAGACTTAGTCCCAAACAAAGTTTTAACGAATCCTTAAAAACAAAAAAATTTAGAGTGATATTTTGTCTTCAGCTTTTACAATTTGATATTTGCATTCAATTTTTACAATTGTTTTGATATTTCATCTTCCTTTCAGTTTTTACAATATGGTATTTGAGTCGTATATTTTCAAGAAGATATTTGTTTAGTTTCTATAATCTTTGTTCAGTTTCCGTAATTTGATATTTTATTTTTCACTGCTTTTACATTCTAGTTCTTTGCAATTGTTGATTATAGCTAGTGAAATAGATGATTCACTTTAGTCTATGAGTGTGAGGTTAGATAGGAAAAACTATTCATATTAGAGCTATGTAATGAGAAATTTTTTTAAGGATAAAAAGATGTGGAGATATGTCAGTGGAACCTATATGGTACCTAAAAATATAACGGAAAGGGATGCAACTTTGATAGATGCATGAGAAGCAAATAATGCAAAGATCATTACTTAGATCAACAACTCTGTTGAGCATTCTATAGGTACGTAGATGGTAAAGTATGAGACAACAAAAGAGATTTGGGATCATTTGCAAAGATTATGCACGCAATCAAATTTTACAAAACAATATCAGTTAGAGAATGACATACAAGCTTTTCACCAAAAAAATATAAGTATTTGAGAGTTCTATTATGCCATGATAGATCTTTGGGATTAGTTAGCTCTTACAGAATTGGTAGAATTAAAGGCATGTGATACTTATATTGAGCGTAGAGAGCAATAACAATTGGTATAGTTTTTAACAACACTTCGCAGTGATTTTGAAAGACTTAGAGGTTCAATACTACATCGCTCTCCACTGCCTTCTGTTGACTCGGTTGTTAGTGAGTCATTAGCTAAATAAACATGTTTTCAATTGTATTCTAAAAAGGGTATTTTATCTGTTTCAAATCCTTTTATACTAGTAGTGCCCTCTAAGAAATTCTTCAATCACCAACATAAGCCTTACATAAGGGTTGTCTTTGATGAGTGTA